GAACATGATATGGTTGTCGGAACACAGGGGTGTCGGAACATAGCCCGAGCAGTCGGAGCATAGGTTTGTCAGAACATAAGTGTGTATTAAACCGTATAGGTGACTTGCGTCTTCGAGTCTTCGAGTGTGACTCACGGTGACTGTTCTATGTTCCGACACCCCTATGTTCTGACACCCCTATGTTCGACAATTAAACCTATGTTCCGACAGCCCTATGTTCCGACAACCTTCACATAAGATTGTGTTACTCCCGGCGAGGGTTAGGGTTAGGTTTAGGGTTAGGTAGGGTTAGGGTATAGGGATAGGGATAAGAATATGTGCAGTCGGAACATATGGGTGTAGGAACATAGGGGTGTCGGAACATAGAGGTGCAACCTATCACAATAACAAGGCAGGATTTCCAGGCGCGTGTTTTCTCTATTCTAAGTGCGGAAAACGCTGGCCTGTAAGAAGCTCACTATAATGTGATCTAATTTTCTCGTCAGTTGACTCCAGTGACCAAACCCCCTACCTTACCTTCTCTCTTCTCTCTTTCTGCAAGAGTGCGGTAATTCGTCTCCAGTCCGAGTCCGGAACAGGAAATTAAAAAGCAAAATATTTTCAAGATCAGCGTGGCTTGAGGAAAATGATTAGATTTTAACCTCCATTATTGCTCGAATTAATTTAATCGCGTACTTTGAGTTACGTCAAGTGGCCCGCAAGCCGAGTCCGACGACTGTTCCCGTAAAATTGTAAAAACAAAAACAGGCAGTGTGAAAAAAATCATTAATAATTATTCATTGGTAGGCCTAATTGGTTCGTTTTTATTCGTGTGTACTTTACTTAAGACAAAATCAAACGACCGAAAAGAGAAATGTGTAAGGTTATTGTGGCTATAAGAACAGCTCCAAATGAGGAAGATATAGGCCCTAAGAAAATCTGTAGATTTGCAGAACCAAAATGTCAATATGGTTACCTTTGTCCATTTAAATTATTTTTTCTATTTCTTTATTTTATTTTATTTTATTTTAAAACCAAATGTATGTGTATTTTCACATTATAAATAATATGGCAGGCCCCTAGAGTTGCAGACCAGTAAATGGACTTCCATTGACCTCAGTGATGACTTTGGAGAGAGAAAATTCCATCCAAAGATGATCACCTCTAAGAGTAGTCCTGAAGCCCTTATTAAAAAAAAAGATGCCTACGCGTCATTGCAAAACAGAGCAGTTTTAAGGGCCTAATTTCATTCCAATTTCACAGAAATACGAGCTCGCAGTCCAGTGCACGCCGCTTCTATCCTTCTCTATTACAAACCCTCAACGTCTTCATGGCCCTCAAAATGCTCTAATACCGAAGAATTTGAGGGCATCCAAATCGTGATTTGGCCGTTGTAGGCAATTTTGGGCCTATTTACTGGCCTGCTCCCTTAAAAGACCACCATTTAGTGAATCGTTCGTTCTAGATAAACATAAGAAACGCAGATTTAAATCCTTTAACGATGCCTTGAACTCAAAATTACATTGTTTATAACGTAAAACAGTCGTCGTGGGGAAGCAGTGCATGAAAAAAAACCGTGGAACTCTAGATCAGCTTCTCTTAAAGGCAGATCAGCGGAAAAAGCTGGGCAACTAGGCCTACAGAAGTAAGTGTACCGCGTTATGACTGCGATTTCCTCGCTTCCCTGATCAACCAAAATCCGGTCTAAAATAACCCATTCCAAAAAAAATACATAAATAAATAACAGAAAAAAAGCAAAATGGTTATCTTAATATTGGAATACTGGCGAACCCAATGCTGTACTTTTTGTGGTCCCATATAATCATTTTCCCCCAACGGAGTATGCTGTGCCCATTCCCCCCCCCCCCCCCGCACCCCCGATGCCGTACAAATAACATTATGTGCGAGCCACCAATTTAATTGATCAGGTGGAGATCTATATCCCCCGTTAAAGGAGCAAGCTTTTATGATATATACGTGACCATCGTCACACCGTGTCTCTCCGCAAAATGTCCCCGGGCTTTGGTTCGCCGGGGCCCGGGTCGCCATCAACCCGTCGCACTTCCCCCTTTCCCTTTTTACCGGTACGTGGTGAGGGTAATCCCTGCGGCTTTGCGCAGTTCACAAGATGGATATCGACCAGACGATAATGGACCCAAACAATACTAAAGGGCAAACTGTATATGGGGAGGGGGAGGGGGCTTTCACCTAACTTGGAAGACTTAGGCGTACTTATGAAATACATGTATTCTGCGGTTCAGTTTTTTTTCTGCATGTTTTTTTTTTCAGGGTAGGGATCTAGGCGTGAGTGACACGAAGGCTAAATTTCAACTCCAAATGCACTCACGAGCGTTTTACACTGTCGAAAATGGCCGTGGTAGTTAAGTCAAGAAATTGGGTGGGTTTGATGATGGAAATGGACCTTGTGCACAAGTCGGCCATATCGAATTGAAAGTCAGGTAAAATCTTAATTTTCGGAACTTGCGAAGAAATGAAAGCAAGTTAATTACTAATCAATTTCTGCTTACAATTTGTAATTAAACATTCCCTAATGTTTAAAGCCAGATTAAAAATGACAGTAAAATACGGCTGCATTGTGCCTGCATAAATAATCTGGCGTCATCCCATGTAACAGTTAACAATTAATGAAATACATTCAGGGAACTCGACAACTATGGCCAACTCGTGCATAAGTCCCAGAGTGAGTCGCCTTGAACAAGAAAGTACATCGAAAAAATGTCTCAAATTACATTTCAGAAACCGAAGTCAAGTCTTAATGCAGCTCCAGATTATTTTGAGAACGATTTCGTTGAATAAAAGGACACAAATTTCAACCCCACTCGTGCAACATGAGTAGGGCAAATCGATGCATTCCCCATCGAAAGACAAAATCCGTGCACCGTTCACTCCGGCACCGTTTTTTTTTGTGAGAAGTACTGTATTGGGGGATTTAGTTTTTCAATTTAAATTTGGTTTATCAATTCAAATGATGAAAGATTTCCTTAGATTTTAAGATTTTAAGAACATTAATATTGATTAATTCGTGGAATTTCATTTTCTATTAGTTGGGGAAATCCGATGGGAACTCTTAGGCTGCTCGCGGTTGATCCCTCCTCCGCTTCTCATGCATAAAGAGTGAAATTCATTATTCAGATAACATGTTTTCATACGCTGTGCAAGCAGCGGGTAAGAGCATTAAGGGCTTTGTCTTCGGCTTAATGACATTTTAGGCCCCAACTTTGGGGACTCCAGCTACATTTTGGTGCCTGTTATGCAGTGGCGTCACCAGACTTTTCAGTCTGGGGGGGCACAGGGGGGGCACCAGCATTTGATGGGGGGCACTTAGGTGGATACGGATCGCCGTCCTGGGGGAGGGGTCTAAGGGGAGGGGGTGCCCCCCTCCCCTTTGGAAAATTTTCGCATACGGAGGATGGGCTAGATGCAAAATGGTGCCACATTTGATGCTAAATTCGATCTGAAGATATCTCCAGAAATTGCTATTTAACCAACTCAGATGATGGGAGTTGAATATAACAATATATATATATATATTTTTACCAACCCAAATCTCAGATGGGGGGCACTCGGGGGGGCACTAGGTTTTCCAGGGGGGGCACGTGCCCCCCTGGCCCCCCCTTGGCGACGCCACTGCTGTTATGCTTCAGGAACATTCAATCGGTTGATTTGAAGACAAAAGTTGGAATATTTTTGTTTCAATTGCCTCTCAGTAATTCAGAAGAAGGAGGCAAAGCCGGAGCCGAAGCCGAAGCAAAGGTTTCGAAAACCCCTCACGTCTAAGGGTGCGCGCCTGCAAATAAATTCCCATAGACACTAGTGCTAAATGTCCATACTTCAAAATTCATTTAAAAATACTCAGAACTCTCACAGGTATTCAAGCTGCACAGAAAAATGATGATCAACATGTCATCTTTCATTTTCTTTTCAATTTTGGGTGGGTTGACCATTGACTTTTTGAGATATTCTCACCCAAATAAGAACACCCCTAAAACGAATGATGTTTCCCGAACTGGAAAAGTAGCCATTTTGAAAAAGAATCCCTCCACAACATGGCTAAATAGCGCCACTTTCGGGCCAGATTGCATCCAAAATGATCAGAATTGGAAGCTCCAAGTCCAGGCCAGAGGTTCAGTGCCACATGTCTTCAATTCCCCAATTCCATGGTTCTCAGAACTCTCTAATATAGAATATTTTGAGGGTATAACTTTTATTTATGAGCTCGGCGGACGGATTTTTGGTCTATTTACAGGCGTGCACCCTTTAATAGCAGGCAACTCTCAAATTTTAACACAAAACCACATTCAGGAGAAGTAGAATATCTTCAAAGTCATTATTTTGAAAAAAAAAATGAAAAATATTGCCCCTCGGAGAAACCACAGGGGCTAATGTGTAGGGTGTGGCTATGGTGTTTTCTACTGTTTTGAATAGGAAAATACAGCTTGTGTGCATGCAATATGCACATGGAAGTTGTTTTTTCTTTCCTTCTCACTTCAAATTTTGCCACATATTCCTTTCTTTTACATTTGCAATGTGTGTGAACTATTTTCTTGGTTCATCTGGGGTCACTTTGTGGTGGCCATAACCACTTTAGGGGCGGATCAAGGGTGAAAAGAAGGGGGGGGTAAATTAATTTCAGCACAGCTTTAACATTTTGTATATGCAAATGTACAGGGTGCCCTGTATTTTAATGGTGGCATGTAACATAAGCAACATTACAACAGTAGTATTTTGGTCATTTCTTAAATTATTGCAAGCAATGAACACCCTTGGAAGATCAAAAACTGTACACAATGGGCCTTGATGTTGTGCACTAATCCCTGGCTGTGGCTGCCTTTTATTCTCTGAAAGTACATGCTGAAGATTTATTATATGACCCTATTTATGACTCCCTGGCCCTGTCCCCATCACAGCCCAGCCTCTTTAGTACTAGCTGGGCTAATTACTGTCTCCAAAGATTCCATTGTAAAACACCTATCTTCCATCCCCCACCCACCCCCCCCCCCCCCCCCCCATAAAATAACAACAGAAATAAACTCTCTGTACAGACTGGCTTCTGAATTATTAACCAAACTTGTGCTGTATAGTCATCACTCTGGCATTGAGAGTTAGTGTGACCACATGCATTCTGTCACATGCTCACACAGGGGAAAAACAATCTCAATTTTGCAAAACCAGCTATTTCTGCAGCAGTTTCAGTATGGGTCGATTGGGACGAGCAGTGTACAAAAGGAAGAAAAGCTGGTTCCAGAATGGCCATAAACTATTCCCTGCAAAGTGTAAATCCCCAATCAGTCATTTTCAGATGAACTCACCAACAGTGTACACAAGGCCAACACAACAGCAGATGCAACTTGCTGTTGAAAGAGATGAGCGGGGGTTCATCTGTACCACGCCCAATGCAGTGCCGACAAGGAAAGTCATGCTGCTTCGACCAAACGCTGCTGAAAGTACTCCCCTTGACAAACTCCAACTCAAGAAGGAAGCAGTACCACAGCCCCTCTGTAGAAGAGAACTCCAGCACCAGAGCCCAGCTGATCAGTCAGATGGAGGGAAGCGAGCAGCCTACCGGTTCGTCGACATCAATTCTGCAGTCGACTTGGGAGTGCAGGCTATCCTAGATCACCAACGCACACATCCTGATTGCAGCGGCCGGCCCACATTGATGCCAGATGCTGAGGAGCGACGAGGTTTGGCTGTGTCCGAGGTACTGTCCTGCCAAAAGTGTGGGTTCTGCACTGACAAGACAAAACTGTTCACCGAAATTCCACAGACGGGGAGAGGACGACGGACTGCCACTCCCAACATGGCGTTCCAGGTTGGTCTTTACAACACCGGCATTGCAGCTGCTGGGGCTAGGCGGCTGTTGTCTGCAATGGACACAACTGTTCCCTCGATAAGTAGCCTGCAAAGTACATCAAACAAATGTGGTGAAATTATCACCACAGAAAATGAAACGGACATGTGCAACAAGAGAAAAATCGTGAAAGACATTCATGAACTGCAGGGTTACGAGAGACACAGCGCAATTGCAGTGGAAACTGACAGACAATATAATAATCCCCTTCGAAACTGTCGCAAGAAAACACCCTTCGTCGCAGCCACCCAGACAAGAGATGTTGTCGTTGAAAATGTGACAACCAGCAAGTATGTTGTCATGTACCACCAGGAGAACAAACTTTGCAAAAAATGTGACATTGACGGAGCGAGGGATCACAAGCACGCAGGGAAATGCACGGCCACTCGTCCACCGAACTTCAATATGGGAGATGAGCGCAACGGGGGCATTCAGTGCGCCCAAAAACTTTTAAACTGTAAAGAACCTTTGTTTGTAAATAGGGTGACAACAGATGCCGACGGTTGTCTGGCACGGGGTATGAGATCATATATGCAAAGTAAGGTGGCAGGTATGGAAACTGAACATTCGTTAGATCCGCCTCATTTAAACCGATCACTCTGTGCGGCCATAAGTCGTGCAAAATTCAGTAAAGAGATGTTTCCAGGCAAAAATAAAAGAGCAAAGAAAAACATTCAAGATCGATTTGCCGATGACGTCAGCCACAGGGCACAGGCCGAGGCTGCTGCTATACTGAAAAAAAGCGGTGGGAACTCTTCCCAAATGACGACCATGGCTAGAAATGCAGCAAGTGCCATTGTTCAATGTTACATGGGGAATCACGGCCTTTGCAAAAAGTGGTCCCAAATTTGTATGGGTGGTAAATATCGGTTTCCATACCTGCCAGTCGATGCCCGTGGCAAACTGAAATTAGCAACTTGTGATGAACAGACTCTCATCAAACTCCTAGGCAAACGACTTGGCCAAGAAGCCCTTGAAAAAACTAAATATGGCACCAGTACTCAAAAAGCAGAATCAATGAACCATGCCTTTGCAGTAACCAACCCTAAGGCCACACTAACCTTCTCAAGAAATGGTTCTTGTCGAGACCATAGCGCAGTGCACTTGGTGAATAACAGACACGCCAATTCAATAGTCAAAAAGTGCGCAGCTGCTGGTTGCCCAGTAACTGCAGGCTCCCCAGCTGCAAAAGCCCTTGCTGAAATGGATAAGAAACAAAAACAGTATGTTAAACGTGCTAAAGGTCAGGAGTACAAAACACGCAGAGCACAATTGCGTTCTCAAAGATTCCAGCTGTATTATGCCACACGGCCACTGTATAAACGTGGCCAACTGGATCCTAAGCCAGACGATGGTTTGAAAAATGTCTGCCACATCATCCAATCTGAACACAATTACTGCAAACGTTTTTAAATTATGTTTTTGGAATGTAACTGACAAATTTATTGTTCATTACGATACCTTAAAGCAGGCACTCCCGGTACCCATCGTGCCCTTGGCACTGCTTGAGTCGTTTGCAGACTTTTCTGCTATTATTTACAGCCCTAGGTTCAAGGGACAAATGCTCGAAACAAACGCACAATGAATTCTGGCACAGGTGACTTACATCCCACTCCCGTGGCAAATTTACATTTCCGGTGTGTGCCATGTAAGCCGCCCTGTGCACAGACTTCAGAGTGCGTTTGTTCGAGCCTGGCATTTTCATTGAAATGATGCCATAGGATTTTTTTATGCATCCCCGCCAAAGCCGGCATCCTTTTGAAGGCTGAAATCTGCTCTTTTTTGCAATCGCCCATTTAATTCTGGCGCACCACGACTCCATGTCGGCCATTTTGTCTCAGTGTTTTTCAGGAGCCCAGAAATCCATTGGCTAAAAGTTTTTTACCTTGGATGTGAATGTCCACCCTTCACCATCCATTTTATTACAAGTCAAAATTTGATTTGTACAAGCTCAAACAAGTACAAACAATATTATTCACTTATTTTTGTCTGAATAAAGAAAGAACTGTGCCTTCTCTGTGTTCGATTTCAATAATAACCAATTAAAATACCCCGAAATGGAAACAAAATAAGAACATGCACAGACTGGGGTGAATGACTCATTGTTTACATTTTTTTAACGGTTCACTTACATGTAAATGCTAACTTCCACAGTGTGTTTTGAATAAAAACCTGAAAAATCAAAGATACAGAGTGTAAAATGTTTGTTTTCATATTTATTTTAACTCAATTTAAGCTTATTTTGTACTTACAGCAATAAAAAGCACACGTTGAAATCCCCCGTCATAACAACGTGGCCGCCACCACTCAGGATCTATAGGGTGCGCGCCTGCAAATAAATTCCCATAGACACTAGTGCTAAATGTCCATACTTCAAAATTCATTTAAAAATACTCAGAACTCTCACAGGTATTCAAGCTGCACAGAAAAATGATGATCAACATGTCATCTTTCATTTTCTTTTCAATTTTGGGTGGGTTGACCATTGACTTTTTGAGATATTCTCACCCAAATAAGAACACCCCTAAAACGAATGATGTTTCCCGAACTGGAAAAGTAGCCATTTTGAAAAAGAATCCCTCCACAACATGGCTAAATAGCGCCACTTTCGGGCCAGATTGCATCCAAAATGATCAGAATTGGAAGCTCCAAGTCCAGGCCAGAGGTTCAGTGCCACATGTCTTCAATTCCCCAATTCCATGGTTCTCAGAACTCTCTAATATAGAATATTTTGAGGGTATAACTTTTATTTATGAGCTCGGCGGACGGATTTTTGGTCTATTTACGGGCGTGCACCCCTAAGTCGTGTCGTTATAGCGCCCTCATTCGCCCACTCATGGCCTATTGGGCGATTCGCTCGTAATGCAAACAGGACGCTGGGATACTCTGATGAATTCACGCTCTGATTGGTTGGATTTAGCGTGATCAGTGACCTGCACGTCATCAAGGTCATGACCCTGCCAGGTTCGAAACGGCCGTTAAGACTGATTCATTACTCTTTTATTCCAGTTTAGAGATGTTTTTTTTCTCGTTGAAAAGCGTAATAATGTAGGAAATTCTGTAAAACTTATCTGTGTTGTAAATTTACAATTCCCGTCATTTGCTCAAGCTCCGTTTCGAATCACAAACGGTCGGATTGCATTATGCGACGCTCAACATTTTGTCCACATGGTTCGCAATGAAACAGAAATCACATCCGGTATTGAATGTGCGCATTTCTATGGGAAGTTTTCGGATAGCATTTGCGCACATTGTGTTACTGCGGTCTTGAACAGCTGCAGCCAGATGCTTTATACATAGGTCATAGGCCACTTCCTTTACAAGATTCTGTGAAGCTCATCAGAGTATCTCAGCGTCCTGTTTGCAGGGCGGGGTCCTGTTTGCAGGGCGGGGGGTACGAGCGAAATTGGGCGATTGTATACCGCCACCACGCAACTTCAGCGAAGACGTCATTCAGCAAGAGAGGGAGCCCTTGTAATTTAGCGTTCCAACGGAGGCTCCAATCATTAATTGATGGGGTCTAGAAATGGTAACTAAAACATGAAGTGGTATGCGCCAACTTCAAATGGATTCCTGATCAACATTTCGAGGGGCTCCCCTGGTTGGAAAATTAAAGGGGGGAGCCCTGTTCAAACATGTTGGCTTAATACGTATACATGTGTTTATATACACGTTTAATTATATAATACGCATTTTAGATCCTTTCCGCTCACATGTACCGTTTTATTTACGTTCAATGGGTGTTGAACGAGCAAAATCGTAGTGCTGTATATTACACTTTGGGAATACTATTAAAAAAAATGAGGCAGCTTTGCTAGAAATGTATATTAACAAAATGGAGAAATAATTGGAGGGCATCACCCAAAATGTTGGGGGGGGGGGCTGGTCGTTCCTGATTCGCCCTACCCTTATACACCTTAATGCTGCTCCCCAGAGAATTTTAATATTCTTTTGTATTTAGACATTGCTTATTCAGGCCCAAAATTTACTCTGTATAAAGATTGTAGTTGCCCTCGAGAGTTGAGTCGAAATTACACTTGCATGTACAATGTAGGCCTATGTGAAAAAATAAAGAAAATATACTCCATTTGAAAGAACAACACTCGCTCTCTTGGACACTGCACATGGTGAAGTATAATCTTCACATAATTTAATATTCAGTTATCATTCTGAGTTGAAGTTTTATGATACGGTTACACGAATACACAAACAAAAAATATTTAGCGCCAAATGTTATTGACCCACAACAACTCAGGCATTATGTACAACACCTCAAAAGAAGGCTACTGATACAGAAACTGACACAACTTAATGATATGCAAAGCTAGCAAAACATTCATGATACGCAAAACATCTGTGGAGTAGTTGACGGTAGCAGAGTACCAATTTCCATATCAGCGTGCATTATTCGGTTAAGTGAATTACTGAGAATTACGATAGCAATCTTATTCTGGATTAAAATCCCCCTCCCTTTCCAAGTAACACATACATTGTACATCCAATACATCTATCAGTCATTTATTTTACCTTCTCAACAGAATCCAATTCAGCATCAACTAGCGAGGGCGGGGCTGGGGGTTTACGAAGGGCTCTTTTGTAAACAAGTGCCGTACGTATTTCCTTCAAACATTCCCCTTGGCAATACTACCCATGACAAACCAAAGTTAAGTTTGCATGACAATAGGCTAAGCTGTCGGAAATGGACTTCACATGCCAATACATGTATCTACATATAACAAGTTTCATGTGCAAAGCTATTATAGAGCCACCTCCCCCGCTTTTCTAAATTCCGTCAACTGGATGATCTGCGGTGATTCCTTGTTCCCAAATTTGGTTTTAGCGGAACATCGCCCGCTCCTCGCGTAAATCCTGCACTCTAAAATAGCGCAAGTCAGATTTGACACTCTTTTTCGGGTAAAATGACACATCTGTGGATCATCTTCTGCAGCAAAAATGTAATTTTGTCACAGAAACGTGTTTTTACTCCGAAAAGCTTCCAATCAAAAAGGCAAAATTAGGAATGTCCCCAAAACCTTGTTTTGAGTAATCGACGCCTGGAGTCGGATATACTGGAAAATCATGTCAAAATCGATATTGATTGTTTTGTATTTTTGAGTAGCCAAGGTATCCAAGATTCACACTATGCATTTTGGTTGGGAAAAATACCCTCAAAAGTGGAAAAACTGAAGACCGTTTTTCACTGTTATTGGCGGCGCAATGCGTGTCTTTTTTTTTTCAAAGCCGTTTTTCTCAAAATGAGGTTAGCGAAATTTAGCAGGACACTGTTGAAGTTCCTGCAACATATCTTTAGAATAAATTAAGATACAGAAATAAATTTGGAATCATTGGAAAGCGAATGATTTGCGCTTTGATATGATGTACATAACGTGAAAAGTCAATGGTGGGGGTTGTTCCTCATTATGCAATGGCAGGTCACATTTAATAAGACCCGGATTCCCGCTCAAAATCTGACCCAGCACCTTTTAGAGTGTATACATATGGCTTAATACTCAAAACTCTCTACAATTTTCTCAAGCACGTTCCCTCTCAAACCGTCAACTGCTTCTTCCTTCATTCTCCAGCCTAACTCTCTTATACTGTACTCCCGGTGCTTCTTCATCTTCACTCATTCGTGCTTCGTTAACTTTTGTCTTGACTCCCATCAACTCACTCGTGACTCCCATCAACTCACTCTCCACTCTTTAATGTCTCGGGTCAGAGTTAACCTGACCATTTTCAGATTCAAGATTTATACTGTCCGGGTAAGAGTCGACCTGGATATCTGGGCGAAATTCTGGTCCACAAAAGTGTTATTTTGATCCTTAAAATAATGGGGTCAAATCTGACCTGAATTTCAGGTCAAAAACGACCCTGAACTTTTAACACTTTCTCTCAGCCATATTCTTTCATAACCACTTACTATTCTTTGTCATTGTTCATCCCAATAGGCCTAATTGTGGCAATTCCTTCTGATTTAAGTTGTGATTGACCTAAGACATAATGACGTCACGCCTTGTTTGCATGTGCGCTTGCCTATGGGAGCCAGTTGGGGACGATTGGTTCTGTCCCCACCTGGCTTCCATAGGAAGGCACACATGTAAACAAAGCGTGACGTCATGATGTCTGAGGTCTATTGACCAGTGATTTGAGTTAAGATGGTCAACACGCATGTCAGTTTATTATATCTGTGACGAGGGGCTGTTCTTTATCATCGGTCATCTCCTGTAACCTGACTTGATTTTTCCACCGCTCAAATACAACTCAATGAAAATTGTCAATGAAAGTAAAATTTTATCATACCAACATGGGCTGACGAAAGTCGCACTCGTGCCTGTAAATCGACTGGTACTTCTTGTTGTTGTTGTTGTTGTAGTTGCTGTTGTTGTTGTTGTTGCTGTTGTTGCTGTTGTTGTTTTAAGGGGGTTTCTTGTAACATTTGCCTTGTGTAGGTACTTCATCGCATTACTGACTTCTTCGCAATTTCACAAGTTATATCCTTATTCGTCTTCATTTGACACACTCTCTCACCATCGCGCATCCATTCAGAATTTCACCGCTGGTTCATCCATCGTAAAAGTCTACTATAACCAAATATTTCTAATATCGTTTGCAAGTATATACAGATAATCTAAACGGTAGTTAAAGCTGACACAAAAAAATAAGTAGACGAGTAGACACAAATTCGGCATTTGATTTAGTTTTTCCCCCTACTATTGGTGGCTTTCTAAATTACGTTCCTTTATTCCCTCTGTGTTTCATCCTCCTCCATAGTCTGGTAGTCGGTCTGTTTGTGAGTCGTGTACGACACAGGTAACCTCTCCTCCATCAATATCCCCTGCGAGTAGAAAAATACATCTTTTGAAATAATTCTCTTATGCATCTCGACCCATTTCTTTACTATACCAATATCATTCAAATCGCCAAAGAAAACTGTCTATGTGTTTTTACCATTCCCCAATCAATGTGAAATTCCTTAACAACGTTCAGGAATAAGTTTAAGTTTGTGCTGAAATTAAACTTCAACATGAATGTTGCAATCATTGTCAAGTTCGCGCAAGAACTATTGTGAACCATGGCTTGACTAACTAGTCCCGAACTCAGTCTAGTCGACGATGGTTGGTTTGCTCAAGACAACCATTCAGGACCAGCCTACCGCGGCTGGTCGCATTATGATTTATAACTGGTTATCAATATAGATTTCCATAGGATAGTGCAGAGGGGACCAACTATCAACAAAATTGCGGAAGACAATTGTCACCATTGTACAATATAATATAAGCGATTTTGTAAGATATTTTTAACTATACACAATCACTATTATGTGTGTAAATAAAGAGAAACAACAAGTGTTGAATATTATTGTGCGACCGCCATTTTTTGACGGTCGTTGACATGACCATGACATGACAATAGTTGGACTAAATTCGTTCGCGCTTCAATTTTAGTGCGCGCATGCGCTAGGTAAGTCACGAACCAATCACTAGTTAACCACTGGTCCTTACTCGAACTTGCCCATTGTTGATTTGAAACAATAAGCCTTACGCATGCACACAATATCGATCAACATTGCCTGAGAATATAAATATGACTTGAGAAATTGCCTGCGAAATTTCTAGTTTCTATTTTCTTTTTAGTGAGAGTTGCACCAGTTCCTTTCAATAAAATATACAGTGAAGCTTTTTCAAGCAACAGTACAATATATACATAATGCATTCTTTGAGAACATCAGATAATAATATTGTCGAACAATTTTGAACATACCAATTTATCCTCTCTTCTCGGTGGATCTCTCAAGAAGTAGCACAAGGGGGCGTAGAGAAAGCTTAGAATGGCTACGATCCTCAACAACCTAAAAGAACATTCAAAACATTAAGACAATAACCATGGAACGCCTTATGTGGCACCTCACTCATTCGTAATTTCTTTCAGTAGTATATGGAGGGGGGGGGGCCTCATAAACGGGTGGTGTATATTAGCGCCTGTAAACCAACTACACTGATTCCAAACCCATCTTTTCATCAGAGTTGGGAGGCTGTCAACCACAGACAAGTCGCTAGTCAGAAAGGTCACAAAGTCAAAGTTGATGAACACTGACTTATGTTGTGCATTGGGTCGGGTTGACCAGGCCAAACCGACCTGAAACATAAAAAATATAAACCGAATACGAACCTAAACCGATCTGAACTCCCCAAATCCGACCCGACTCGATATAAATTCAAGTAAAACCGACCCCAACCGACCCGAAACCGAACCGACCAGGAAAAAAAAGAATATTTGGTAAGCAACTGTTTCCGCTTTTTGTGCCTCATCGTCGTCTCATAACGCTACCTATGTGAGCCTACACGTTATAGACTGCCCGTGATAGACAACAAACTACATGACGTTGGTCGTACCGGGCACAGTAACTCTGCAATCATATTGTACCGCGTGAATTTTTACTCTGTTTCGGTTTGTTTTAGTTTATTTCGGTTTATTTTTGATTTTTCACAAAACGGCTTAACCAACCCGACCCGAGCCGAATACTGCAAACGCGAAATCGACCCGACCGAAATGATGGAAAAACCGACCGGACCCGGATCGCTTTTGGGTCGGATCGGTTTCGATTTTGGGTCGGGTTTGCACAACATTAACACTGACAAGGAAATACCTATGTCGCATAATCATTTGAGTAGTTTGAAAGATGACCTGCGACTTGTGTATAGTTATGACCAGTACGTGACTGACTTATGATGACTTATGATGCCTTGTGATGTATAGTGGTGACGTGATTTAAAATTGGGTGCTTTTTAAGTCTATAGAGGGACTAAAGCTGGACTGAAACTGGTGTATCTCACTTTGTTCCTAACATTCAATTCACTTTGTTCTTGTTATTTGTTTCAACTCTCTTTTTTTTCAGGTAAATGTACGCACTTGATCTAGCGAAGCCTATGTCCTATCCCATTGAAATTGTTGCCATGGTCAACCTACAGAGCGCCCCCTTTGCGTCGTGCACATGAATGGTTCAATCACTACAATCACAACAGTAAGTTTCATAATTTTACCTACCATGTGAATCCGACTGCTTGCACTATTGCTGCACTCAAGGACGGACCTGAAAAGATTTTCAAATATGCCTCATTAACAAATTGAGATGTTGCTTAATAGCAGATTTTATAGACGCTCATAAAATCCTGGGTCGGGTTCGACCTAGTCTATGTAATAGACGCTCGTTGAACGGGTGATACTCGGACTAGGTTCGACCCGGATCGGGGTCAGAATTGACCTGACACTTTTTTGGGTCAAAATGACCATCAATAAGTCACTTTTTCGGGTCATTTGACCTAGATAGGGTCATTTTGACCACCAACAAATTCAACTTGATGTCAAAATTTGATTTCCAAAAATTGTCATTTTGACCCAGAATAATCGGACCCGAATTAATTCAGGCTCCAAACTGACCAGGGACTTTTATTATCGTAAATAAAATAACGTATTAAAATACACTTTGATTTGCAACATTCATCTGTAAATCGCGACTTTTAGGACCTTAACACTAATCATAAAAGCCAACAATGCAGCCTGTTATAACTGATAATGTAGTACCCAATGGATAATGTATCATCAACCGATAATGTTAAAAAAATTAACCGATATTGCATCACTATAGCCGATAATGTTACAAAAAATGACTGATAGTGTAGAAAATGTTACTACACTATCGGTAAATTTTTGTGACATTATCGGTTGGTGATATATTATCCGTTGGTTACTACATTATGTACCACATGACTTCTTCTTATAAGTTTCAAGCTAATGGTCTTCCTCGGCAAGTTATGAAAGCACTTCTGAACCGTTTCTTTACCACTCTCAAAGATACTTGCAACTTGGGCCTAGTTTAGTAGAAAGGTAATTTCAAACCACTTTCTGAGTGAGTGAAGAATGTTGCGGTCACAGCATGTACATGCGACAAGTGTCTGTTTTGTGAGTTGTTTTGTGGTTCATGGAAGAACGGTCAACTCGATGTTTCGAGCAGTGTGCTCCGTCTCTTGAGAAATATTATCATAGACTAATTGAAGACGAATTCGGTAGACTTTCCAAAGATCAGCTGAAAAAGAAGCATGCTGTTGTTCAAAACGAGTAGGCCTAACCAGTCCTCACAACTTGCATCACTCGGCCATTTTAGTTACCTAAATATCGTTAACTCACTGTTGATACTGAGACATGCAAACCAGGGGTGCGTTTTGGCGGTCATAACCAAGCATTGGTTCGGTGGTTTCTCTTTGGTTAATTGTTTTGGGGATTTGAGTACTACATGATCATGTGTAATTCTAACCCAATCAAAATTGCCGAAGAAATTCACAGACAAGAAACCACCGAACCAATTCTTGGTTATGACCGCCAAAACGCACCCCTGGTGTTATTTACACTGTAGTAGACTTACCCACAGCAAAGCCTATGCAGAACGCCACATCGGCGATTGCGTAGATGCTGCCGTAGACCGACACGTGCCGTATGTCGACCAGATGACCCATGATCGGCAAAATGGTAGCATCAACCATTCCTGCATCAAATCGAAACGTCAGAGGCACTAATAACCATATACACTCAGCTTCTATTTGGTTCTATTTAGCCTAACCCTATTCCGGGTAAACAAATGACACTTTTCGGCGTCACAAATGACACTTTTCAAGTCACTTTCACCCCGGAAACAGAAGCAAAAAGGAAACAGAAGCAAAAAGTGTTATTTTGACCTGGAAATGCATCCTCGTCAGATTGACCCGGAATCTGGGTCCTATATGGCCCAACCCTTTTCCGGGTCAAACATGACACTTTTCTGGGTCAAAATTACACTTTCCGGTACAAAAGTGACGCCTTTCCGGGTCAAAAATGACACTTTCCCGGGTCAAAAATTACATTTTCCCGAACAAAAATTACACTTTTCCGGGACAAAAATCACACTTTTCCGGGACAATGATGACACCCCTTTTCGGTCATTATAATCCCAGAAACATTGGCAAAAAAGTGTCGTTTTTTGAGCCGGAAAAAATGTCAGTTTTTGACCCGGAAAAGGGTTAGGCCAAATATTTGAATATTAATATTTGAATGATGGACCTGAAAAGAACTTTTTAGCTGCACTACTCATCGCTGCTTGACCTGAACAATACTCGGCATATTATGTAGGCCTAACGTACAAAACTTATAAAGTAGTCGATCGTCACACTTATCGCATGCAACTTTAGCATTTCAAATAAAATATTCAGGTAAGAAATGGCGAAACTGACCATTAATGTGGAAGTAATTGCATAAATTCCATCACAATAAGTTTCAAAACAATTATTCAAAACCGTTTCCAACCGCCCCAGGTAGACCATGACTGTGTGTGCTGCCACCAATCGGCTCAGTATTGTATACACTGTACTTACCTATTGCGAATCCTAACGCGAAATTCGGCACCACGAGATGACCAAGTTCCTTAGCAAACGGAATCTGCGTCGCAAAATTCAAAGTAAAAAAAAAATCTTGTGATCACCTGTTTAACCAAACCAATCAATAAGACTCATGCAAAACAAATACTTCGTTATTTCCTCATAATTTATTGTCGGTCGCACCACGGAGTGACGTATCGTGTGCACAAAGTCTGTAGACGATACGTCACCTATGCTCTCAGAATTTCAATCTAATTTGTCCAATTTAATTAACTATCAGCAGTCCAAAAGCTCCCACGTTGTTTTAAAGCTCTGGCATGAGCTTCTACATGTCACTTCGTGGTCGGTCGGTCGGTCGGTCGGTAGGTCTGTCTCCGGAAAATTGACCAAAAACGGGCCCCATAAAATATAACTACCATTTGACCAAAACTTGACCAAAACTTGGCCAAATGCAATGCCATCGTCAGTAAATGCACTCTTGACGTGACGAAAGCTATCGAAAAACGGGCTTTGTCTCGATCGATGGGCATGCGCGTCTATTTTGCATATGTCTTTCCCCGGAAAATTGGCCGAAAACGAGCCCTCTAAGTTTTCCATAAATTATAACTACACAACTTTTATAAAAAAACAAAAAAAATGGCAAACAAAAGAAATTAATTACTTCACAAAAATTGTTTGTAACAATTCGTTAAGTTATTTATGAAAAATGTGTAAGTGAAGGCAAGATAATGGGCATTAATGTTACAGTCACGTGGTATATAGCGCGCTATTTTTATTGGAAACTTAGGAGGCTTATTTTGGTCAATTTTCAGCGCCTGATTTTCGCGTGGGACGGCGGCCCGGGCTTGTACGCACAATCGTTTCATGCAAGACATTCATGCAAGGCGGCCATAGCGTATTATGTACCCGCACTTGTTTGTTACTGGGACATAAATTCAAAAGCGTCCTTTGCTTACCACGAGTATTGCAAGACCCGCCAGTACCATACCCAGTAACGACGACAGCCACCTGTGAAGAAGATATTGAATCAATAACAGTTAGCATGTTATCATAGTATCACCTTTCTTTCCTTTTTTTTTAACAGACTTCTCCTCTGATAGGCAAAATTCGTATTGTGTGGAATAAATGAACGGCAAATTACTTTTGGCCGTCATTCCAAAAACAAAAGAATTATTCAGAGAGAGTTTAGCAAAAATCATGCATTTATCAAAAACACTAAATAATCGACCGTGGCTATTTCAAACGTTACCATGGCAGATCTGCTTTGCAAGTCAGTGGCCGCCCATACTAAATATGGCTCAAAAGGAAAATCTATCTTTCGTAATGAAGGTTCAACGCTATAGACCCCTTGCACGAATACGCCCTCAACGAGGGTAGCTTTTGAAATTAAAGGGCATATGTATTGTAATTTTTATTTAACGCAGTCCATGTAAATGCACCTTTGTGTCCCATGTAACCCTAATTTCAATTCTCATTTTGCCCATTTAAAAGGGCATTTTGGTGCCTTTTCTTTTTTGGTTGTTATGCTAATGAAAATTTGCATATTGCAATGTTACAGCTATTCCAGCACAAACATTTGCCAGAATTGCGGATTGTGTTGTTTATTTCGAAAATGTCTGTTCTTTGGTGATTTGTTGTTGTTTTAGTACATGAAGGTAGGCCGATCAGCAAAGTTTTCTCACAAACGTTTTTCAATGAGCAAAATGTCTGGTTCACAATTTGAACAGAAAACCCCTAAACTGAACAGAGTATTCCTGAAATGACATCACAGCAACAGCGCCCCCATTGGTCAGGAAAAGCATGGGAAATTTCAAGTGTTTAAAAGAAGTGTACCTTTCAATAAAATTAACCAAAAAGGGATGCAAAATAATTTCGTACATTTAAGAGGAGTAGAAAGTCGCGCAAAATGTTCCCAAGTAACATTCATGTCATAGGCCCTTTAAACTCAGTGACAAAAAGGTACAAATTGTCTACAGGGTGAGTTAAATAGAAAGTTAACGAATGATTTTCCCCCTTCAAGTAAATAAATTTGATACACCAATAAAGCAAGTATTAGACGAGCATGTTCTTCCACTCATCTGGAAAAAAAAATACTGAAATTGAACGTTGCTATCATAAGTTATGCATGTTTTACTACAAGAACAGATTTTTACAGCTGTCCATGGATGCTAAGTGCTTTGAAGCTATTCGGTCGAGTGAGAAACAGAGATTACACACAGGAAATGATATTTAATGAGAGTCAAGATTTAATCATTATTTACCTGCCTATTTTGTGTCCAAGGGGCCCAAAGATGTTAGTACTAATCAGATAGGAGATGCTGGAAGGTATGAAAATAGCACCTGCAGTAGAAGAATAAGGTCAAAGCAGTGTTAGCAAGACTAGGCATGCGTAGTAAAGCTGTTTCCTGACCAGTCGAAGTCAAAAGTGACAGTCAGTCAGTGAGATACATGGTACCCAGCACTAGAAAGTAGTAACCGTCGGGGAGTGCGTGAGTGAGTTAATCGGTCAGTCGGGGAGTCAGTCGGTCGGGGAGTCACTCAGTCAGTGAGATAGGTACAAGATGGACACTATGCTGGCCCTTTTTTTATAGATTAGTGTAGATAATACAGAAAAGTCGGAATGGGAAGAGGGAGAAGGGTACTGTGTTTAAACTGTATCATAAGGTGTTCACTGAGTTCAATAGCTTTTGGCAACAGCATCCATTCAGCTGCGTCACCAAGTGTGCAACAACCATTTGGGGAAATGGTTCAACAACCATTTGGGGAAATGGTTTTGCTACACGATCGATGCGCATTACTTACCAATTTCCCAGTTGGATGGGTTATGCATACGATCTAGCATCCATAGCGGCAGTGATGGCTCTAGTAGGGCTATTCCCATATTGCCGAATGTTATAGCTCCTGATAAAGGCAAAGAGTAATATGTAATTGTTATATCGATATGGCCCATTAAGTATTTTACGAGTGTGCAATAATTTCCCTTTTTTAAAAAGTCGTGCCCTTTTTGTGCCATCGGATCGGCCGTTACGGGTGCCTTTTTATTTCGCGCATGTATCTCCCTGAAAAGCACCAGATATTGTCCATTGTCCGTTAGTACATAATCGTTGTTTTTGATCGACAGATGGTACCAGCGCCCCCCCCCCCTCCCCCTCCCCCTCTCCCTCCCCCTACCTCTTCCCCCCCCCCCCCCAACTATTTGCTTTTACGGAGGCCAAGTGCCCGGAGAAAGAAAAAAAAACGTGTCCACATTCAGCGCCGATGTGCAAGTGCCCTTTTCAAGAAATGTTTACCCCCGCCCCAATAAAATAGCCTTGCTACGCCCCTGCGACTTTGATACCCCTGCTGCTAAAAACTGGCTCATTTAAAGAAAGTATACTCCCATGTCAAAGGCCTAAAAGTAAGTGCTGGAGCATGAAGCCACAGCCGTGGATGAAAACAAAGTTCGGAGAAAAAAACAAGTCTATTTCGATATGCCACAAGGGACAGTGCAGGTGCGTAGTGGACAAACAGATAAGTTTCCATGAAAGTGTTTAACTCAAGCGTGTTCTTCTTGGTATAACTGATAAACAGACAAATTGCTGAAGCCTACCTGCTGCAACTAAAATGTAGGGATCTCGTAGAAGGGTTAACAGTGAAGTTCCCTCCATCTCGGTTTCTTTGTTTATACCAGGATTTAGCACAAGCAACTGCAAAACTGGATCAACACAAACAAATGAGTGGATTAATCTTCACGTTAATAAGAGGCCCATGCGATTCGCAAAATCTTTCAGGTGTTTTAGCCAAGACACATTTGAACCCCTCTGGATGGGCACGTTCTCTTTCGGCTCGTAGTCGCCATTTTTAGCATTAAATTGAGTCAATGAATAAAAAAAAAGTGAAAGATATTATCTTGCATTGACCAGTTGATCATTCAGTTGCTAATTCGATATCTGAATGAAAAATATGTGAATGTTCTTCCCAATGAGACATTAGTTGCCTGTCCGTATATTGTCTCATTGTCAACAATCGTATTTTAGAGTATTTCTCCTTTAGGTTCTTCTTCTAGTCTTTCGTCTGTCTCCGATTTCTATGTGATTATTTTTTTCGAACTCGATCTGATAATATCATTATTCTATCCATCACTTACACCCATCAGCTAGAGCCAATGCCGCCAGTACTAGGAAAGCCGACTCCTTCCCAACGAACTGATACATCGCCCCTCCGAAAGGTGGCCCAACTGTGATATAAAAAAAGACAAATAGATTGAGGGTTTCGAAAAGAGTCATTATGTCTAAAAATTACGAAAAACCTAGAGAATAAGGTATTTTGTGCTTCAGTGAGCGTAAGATGTCATACACTCGGCCATACGTTAGCAGTGTTGGATAGTACATAAGTAGATGAAATGGTATTATTTGGTCATGCCAACATCACCTTTTAAGGGAAGGTCCCTGGTTAGTTAGCCTTTTCCAGATACGGCGACAATCGATGGCGCTCTTACCCACCCCATTTAGTGCCCTTCTATAGTGTGTCAATCGTAATCTCAAGAAAGGGCTAACGGCCAAGAACAGTCGGCAGCAGCGATCTCTTGCTTGAGGGATTTTGGAGGGGAGTCATGCGGCTGTGGATATTTTCCGCAGTAGATGGCAGTGTGTATGTATATGTGTACAATTTCGCTGTAAAACAATGTGTGGATTATCTCAATATTTCGGCTGAGTCTACCCTTTCTAACCGAAGTTATATATACTCCGACCAAAAGCCCTGCCAGAGAACTGAAGCTAGACTGTAGTTGGCACATTTGGAACAGTCTACATCCCAACCTCGCGTTTGTCTTCTTCTTTTTCTTTTCTTTAAATAAAGGCAAGTTATGGGCACTAAATGGAATAAACCTGTGGTGAAATTAAGTCTATGGAATATCCCGTAGCGCAGCAAGGGTCTATGATAATGCGCACAGATTCGGCGATTAATTATGCAAAACAAGACTGCGTCTTGACCTCGAGATTCTGACCATTCAGTGGGCGCCTTCTATCGGGTCTTCCGTAACCCGTTGTCGTATTGCAAAAACATGGCAGCCAAACTGGCCAATCAACAGCTTAGTCCACATTTCTGATCGAAATGACATCACAATTTCTAAAGTCGGGGCTCCGATTGGCTGGCGCGCGGGGTCGCATAAAATGTGCATAAAAGCTCATACATCACATGTTGGTTACGGAGTGGGCTCCGTTGGACAACTGGTGGCACTCAGACTAGCTGAAATTGTGGAGCATTTCCAAATTGAGCAATTCTGCCGGATGCTTTTGGTTTACTTACTTAGCACACCGAAGGCCAGACCGGCCAGAGCGATCCCCATGGCAGCTCCTCTCTCCTCATAGCCCGGATACCGCTGGGCAAGCATCCCCATTCCTAAAGGACGAAAATGATTTTATTGTCGGGTTACCTCAGTGTACTGACCTCGACGTGATATGTTTTGATATACTTGGATCCTTGACAGCTAGTACAATGACACAAATTATTTGACTCAACACAATAATGTGTTTCTTTGGCTTAGACTGCAAAAAACACAACGGTGTTAAATTTAACACCAGTCGTTTCTATAGCTTTTGTACGCCACTGGTCCTATATAGATACCACCCCGTGTTACATTTTACACCACAGTTTTTGCAGTGTATATTGAGACAAAATGAGGCCAATGTCCCCACAATTTACCAGAAATTTGTTTAACAAAACCCTTTGAACATATTGTTGTTTCGCTTTGAAAAATTACCTCACGACATCACAAATCCAACGCAGCAGTTAAAACCCTATCATGACTGCGAACAGTACTCACGAAAGTTATTTTCATTACAAAAAAAACATCGCGCGAATACATTGAGGCCTTAATGACGTTGTACAATAATTAACCTGCAAAGGTTCATGAAGACCAAAACGCCAAAATGCAGTTGAGTTAATAAGGAGTGATCGCCTACGCCTATTTTTATCTCTGGCTTTAATTTGCGTGTAATTACCATTTAATTGACAAACATCGAAGAGTGATATACGCTTGATCTTACCTGCCACCGACGAACATGAAGAACCGATCCCTTGTATCATCCGAGCAACAATCAGTAACCAGTACGACTGACCAAATGCGAATACTGAAGCAAAATTTTGAAACGAAAAGAGTGAACTGATCATATCCCTTGAGTTTTAAGTGCACAAATTGACAAAATCGTGTTTTCACCTTAAATTATCATCTTTTGCTAGCAACGCCCATTGTTCGTAAGTCCGACTGATTTTTAGCTTTCCTGGTTTAATATTGAGACCTGCTCTCTTGAAAGTCAGTCCTGGTCATATTTGATGTGATACCTTTCAGGGTCGAAAACTACACTATTCTGGGTCAATGAAATGTTGCCCCCCCCCCCCAAAAAAAGGTCATGGATTTACAAAAGTGTTTAACCACATGTGTCTCTGGTCAACGTGTAATTCCATATATCTCTTGGCTACTTGTACGCCCAAAGTCATGTCTTACCTAATGTTGATACAAACATGATGACGAACCCAGTGAACATCGGTATGCTGTAACCAACTCTGCACGAAATAAAAAGTAATAATATAAAAAAAATGAACTAATCTTACGCAAAGTTACAACTGTGCACGACGTCTCAGCAATAATCTATTTTGCAAATTTTGAACAGATGTTTAATTCTACTCAAACTTGAAAGGATGACAACAGGTTTGTGCTTGATCGCAAGACTAAGTTCTGAAGGTTATGTAGCCAAACATAAAACATCCACATGTATACTTTAATTTGAAACGTAACATTTCCATGGGTTGCTAATTCTTGCGTACAGGTGGTCGCTACAATAAACCTCTACTTCCAAAAAATGATGTTCATCTTCCATCACATAAAACTTAAGGAACTCAAGGTCATGTATTTTAAGTATTGCACCTTAAGGTCCTAAAAATAAGTTCAATGACCTCAGTGTCCTATATTTATGTAGCTTAATACTTGGGTATTACCTATTGGTCAGGGGCCCCACGAAAGGGTTTGTGATAAGCTGGACGATCGCCTTGGAGGCGAACAGTATCCCCACTTTGAGATTCGCGTGACGCAGTAACAGTCTGTACTCTAGCTTCTCTTCAGGGCTCATGGTGGCGGAGGTACCGTTGACGTTACCTGTTGTCACGCCAGGAGGAAGGACAAAGAACAATCAGTATAGGAAGACATAGATGATAGCAGTGTTTGGGGTCGTCAGGGTGGCGCAGTGGTCCGTCCCTCGATCGTCCCCTACCTCTGTGAACCGTTTTTCGAGTCCCGACTGTGCCGACGATTGGCTTGGGTTTTGGTCCCTTCTTTGTCCTTTTGATTTTTCCTTCTACCATTAAAAGATTTCATTATTGTCTTCTCTCTAGGTGGTTCGTCAGTTTGCGAGCCACACATAGTTGGCCTTGTATGGGCGCTTTTGAGGAATCATAGGTTTCATTACCAAAACAAATACTCAAGAATGCTTCGGGGCAATAATGCGTTCCCCTATTCTCCGGAGTAACTTGAAGAGAAAAAAGACAGAGTTTGAGCTAATCACTTTGCCTTCATCTTGTGAACTCCTTGCCGTTTGACTTACGACTTGGAAATTGTAAAAGATTTCAAGAGTCCTTACTTTCAAAGGGAGCATATTATAGACTTGTCAAATCAAGATTTTAATTGAGACTGTCCAACACATGGAGCTCTTGGTGACAATATAATTGTCTCGTGAATTGCAACAGAAGGTCAGCTTGTCCGTTCCCGGAAAAAAAAATTAATGTGAGTACCGCACCAAGAGACCTCCAGATGGTTAATGATGTGTGTATCGCTCTTTTGTTGTGTTGAACAATAGTAATCTATGCAATTGTCTTGGCAGTCTGCAATGTGTAACCATATGTACGACCTTTCTGTTTATACATGAACACGAAATTTACAAGGTTTTTTTCTTACGTACATCTTTGATTGTTTTATACGAAATTGATAATTTGAAAAAAAGTTAACACACTGAAAGTCACTCATGCTACAGCATAACTCTTTTTAAGAAAGCATGATCCAACTGTGTAGCAGATGGCAACTAAGGCATCTAGCTATTCCGTGGCCTCGTGGTCTGGAGCATTACATTCGTGGTCTGCAGGTAATTCTGCAGGTCGTGGTTTCGAGTCCAGCCTGGGGTTATGGTGCATGCATGTGCCCTCGGGCAAGGCACTTTGTCATTCATTGCTTCTCTCCACCAAGGAGTTTATTGGGTACATGTGAGGGCAGGGATGGTTACTGTTATGTGATTAATGGCTTTAGCTGCTTTGCACCGAAATGGCAGCATCGATCTGTGCAGTCCCTAGGGAGCCGAGATGGTATTTGGATTTTGGAATGTTTCATTGGCCCAATGAACAGGGGAATAATGATGTAGCGCCTTGAGCACCAATACTGATGGATATGTGCGCTTTATAAATACACAGTACTATCATTAATTATTAATTTATTACTACCCAGGAAATATTAAAGTTGATTCTAAACAGGGAATGGCTGCCATATGTCCTGTGTCTAATTCTGATCACTTATGCATGAATTTTCTTGTGTCTAAAAAATGAAAAACACATCTAATAACTGTACTTGTTCTATAATGAACATTGCTATATTTACACTCATCAATCCACATGGGGTCTGCTGTGTCCATGGACGACAGGTGCTCCGTAGGTAACTGAGTGCAGTTGCTTCTGTTGTACTCTGACATTAGCCGCCCGTTCACGTACTCCGGGTGTTCTTGCGCGAAGATGTAGTCCGGCAGAATCGGCACTGTGAAACAACAGGTGTATAACTGATTAATTATTAGAGAAACTATATAAAAGTGACCATCTTTGTTTCCGCTTTTCCAAGAAATGACGGGTAACTTGGACATTTCCTGATATTCCATAAAAAGGTTCCGATGCTTAATTTATGTAGGCCCTACTGATTTTCTTTTCCGAACCAATTTTAAAGCAATGTAATGTCCTGTAACAAATAAAATTGCTTGTTTGCTTTTGAAGGCCTTGTTACGGTTTTAAAAAGGTTTTTTAATTGCCCAAAAGGTAAGTGTTCTTTCAGCAAAACGAAAACATTTCACATACGTCCCTATGTGAATTGTTTTCGTTTTGCTCAAAGAAAACTTACCTTTTTTATGATCCGTGGACAGAACTTCAAAACGGTGTTTGTGTTTAAAATTCTGTAACTGAAGTGATTTGAATAATTCTTGTACTAAAAGAAAGCTTATGAATTGGGCTTTTATGTCCTAGCTTTTGAAAGAACTGCATGCAGAACTTCACACACACAAAAATGGTCCCGACATTTGAGTTTCGGGTTTTTTTTTACTCACCCTGTATGGTATACTAACGTACTTAGTTCGCTTCAAATGATGATTTAAAGGTGATTATGTATGCATATATGTTTGTATTTTACACATTTAACTCACAGGGCATGAAGGTGAACGACCAGTTTCCAGTATTCCAATCTTGGTCTAGTGTAATACCTTGGCCCTGATCACCCGTGTTTGGTATAAGTGTGGATCAGGCGTATATGCCAGGAGAGATAATTGAGTACTGCATACTAAACTCTTAAACTGTTTTCATGTTCTGATTTACTTTATATTCACTAATACCTCTGTGGCCTAAAATAAAAACTGAAGAGAATGCAATGCACGATTACAGTCATTCCTCATCAACTGCCTTGTATCATGATCAATCTCAGCAACTTACACAATTTTAGTTCGCTATAAGCTGTATTTTATCGTTGTCATTTTTGAGAAACTTAATGGTTAGCATGATAAAGTATGCACGATTTATGTGCCTTTAGGTTTAGCGACTCTAAATTTTTCAATTTTACAATCCCAACTTCCCAAGTAGGCCTACACTGGATTTTTTTACAGAATGAAATCTACATTTGAATTTCCTTCTTATACACAATGTGTTTTGTTAATCAGGTCACACAAGCGGTTTAGGAAAGAATTTCAGCATAAAGTCCAAGCAATCAATGAACACATCTGGGTGACCTTGTGCGAAAAAAATAACTTGGATGTGGATGTACACTGTATATGAACGCAGGCCTATACGTGTATAATATAGGCCTACCCGTGCAACAGTCAAACCTTACACCCAAGAACAAAAATGTGAACTGGAACCGACCAATATATGTTTTCAGAATATAAACAGTGTGTTTCGTGATTCAGATCACACACAAGGTGTAGGAGAAAATAAAATTTCAGCATAAGCTTAAACAATCAATGAACACATCTGGGTGCACTTGTGCAAATAAAAACAACTTGGACGTGTCATTACAGGTAGTTGCCTCATCCATATGGGTGTACAATGTATATGGATGCAGGCCTATACGTGTACAATATAGGCCTACCAAAAGTGAACTTGAACGACCAATGGATTTTCAGAATAAAGAATGAAATGTTAGAAACTGATCATACACTTTCATACCTTGTGAGTTAGATGTGACACGAGGACATAATTAATCAGCTTTAAATCATCATTTGAATCAAATTAACGTTGTAATTAAGATAATTGATAAAACCACATATAATTAATAAATATATCAAAGGAAGAGTGTTATTTATGCTTGTTATTATCCATGTATCAAATTAGTAATGTAGAAGAAATCAGAAGACTTTTTCCACAATAGTAAGAAAGCACACTTACTAAAAAGTGCTGACTCAGCATTTTGGGGAATGGCATAATTACTCCACTACTTCGTCGGGCAAAGGTTTTTGATGAACTTTTTCTTATATGGTAGGTCTTATAAAATGTCAGACATTCTTTCAGGCCATTCAAAACTTAAAATGTCGTGCCATTAGGGAGACACCTAACTGTCTCCCTAATGGCAGAGCCCCCCCCCCCTTTAGAGGCAATATTTTTTGTCGCAATTAGGTTATATTTGTTGCTTGTGGTCTAATTAGTAAAAAAAAAAAACGAAATTCGTGGAAAAGGGACAAGGGAATATTGGTTAGGGCACATTTAAGTTGGAAAAAAATGTGTGCACAAGTCTATGGGAAAGTTACCCTAATGACCCAGTGCCGGTAATTATTATATTCTTCTTTTTTGCAAGTTCACTCACCAACCACCGTCATGAGCGTGTTGTCGAGCAGGAGGGCCACAAACACGATGAACAGCACCAGTCGACGCGACTGCCGGAGATTTCTGATGCACTCCATTGCGCTGAAGTCCCGCCACCTGTAGTGGAGCGACGCACGAAAGTTTTCGTACACTGGCACCGACACCTGCTTCTCCGAGTCCATCATGATTGGCGCAGTCGGGAAAACAGGCAGTTCCTTTCAGCCGACTCTACTCACTTACTGTCTGAAAAGAAGGTACGGCAATTCGGTGAGTTATATACAGAGTTAGTCAAAAAAACGAAACCCAAATGTTGGGACCATTGTTTTAGTAAAGTTCTGCATGTAGCACTTTCAAAATCTAGGATATGAAAGCTCAATTCATGAGCTTTCTTTTAGTACAGGAATCATTCAAATCACTTATGTACTTTTCAAGTTACGGAGTTTTAAACACAACTACCGTTTTAAAGTTCTGTCCACTTCCACAGGTCAGGTTTGTAACATTCTCCTTGGATTTTGAGTGATGTTAATATTGGAAACAGACAAAATGCATGAAATGCAAATGATCCTATATATGCATTTAACCCGGAAAATGGCGTCCTTTTAGTGCGCCCTTCGGCTTGCAATGATGGCCTATTATGGTTTGTCAGTCGGTGTGTCAGTGTGTTGTGTTTGTGCATCGGTTGTTATTTCTTCCAAACAGACGGTATAAGGCAACCTTTTTTTCGAGGTTATTGGTATTTTGACGATGGGGAAGACTTTAAATTGAGGAAACATTCACGATTGCAGCAAGCTGAGATGTTGATAGGAATCTGTTGACCTATTCTGTATACCTGTCTGCCATAAGCCACATTTTGCGATTGTACATTTATCAACAATCGGCATTTTGTATGAATGTAAACATGCGGTGATCCTTCGAAATTTAATCAGCGGCTGATTAAATTTAAATTGTGCTTCGCATAATTTAAGAAGGTTTTTTTTTCCTGATAGATTTGCTACATACGAAGACTAATCTTCAGATTTTCGCATTATATGCATCTCTTTAATTCTTGCACTATTGGTACAGCTAGCAATAAGTATACAATTCTGACGACAGTCGATGAATTTCGGTCTACAACACACGGTGCTCCACTAATTGTTCTGAATATTCAATAGGAGTCACTCAACAATGGTCTACAATTTAATTTACGTACTAGCTCTGAACACTTCACGTGAGATTTTAATTTCAATGATAGTCGTTGGCTTTCGTTCGAAACGGGCCCCGATGAATGATGCCAATTCACCGCGACAGAAATACCCCAAACCGTCATAATAGCAAAACGTCTTTTTGCATGTCCGTCCGGCTGTTGATTGAAATCATAAAGTTCTGGAGTGAAGCATACGTTCATACCCCGCCGGACAAAAGGTTTGACAAACAAGCCCTAATGAGGTATTGTGCGGCATCCCCCACAAAACCACGAGCAAATATTGACCGCGCATAATTGTAATCAAAGAGAGAAACTGATTAAGCAAGCACTCGAACGCTGACCCACTGCTTGGCATTTATAATTGTTATCACGAAAGTCGGTCACCTCAGAGTTAGACCGGCTCTTGCTTAATCAACTGTATTTCCCAGGGAGAAAAACGATTTCTAACGTTTCTTGGCATGACGTCATTGGTAACTTTCATGTTTATTATCTCTTTTTAAAACCACACGTCAATGACATACAGGAATAGGGTTCACGTCAAGATGGCAAGTGGGTTACGTACCAAATCTTTTTTATTTGGTGTTACAATGTGTCATCCAGAGAGAAAAAGCAATTGTCTGTGTGCTAGGCCTACAGTACTGATATTGTCTTAAAATGGACTCAACATGCAAGCACATTCGTTTGCCTTAAAGGGGCTCCGTGGATTCGATACTAACAGTTTATCGTTTATCAAAGTGACATTCAAATGAAACTTACACTATTAAACAGTTTCAGGATTCCCATTGGTTGAGAACCTGTCACGTGGGTGGCTTGAAACCGCTTGTTAAAACTATACAGAGACACGCGTGGCCCCCGGATCGGGCCAGCGAATCTTTATAGCGGTTTCAAACCTCAAGTTTAAAAACTACCTCATCTCTTTTATCCCAAACACTGAATACGGTTGTTGGCACGAACACGTATGAAAAATTGTATGTCACAAAAGCCATCCTTTATGTCCACACTTAATGCCGCCGGCACTCGGCCAAAATCCACTTACTCATGTTGAAAAGAAAATACGGGAACGTCGGGCGAATTAGCCTTTTCCGTAAAAGATTTTTCCAAAGTGTTTGCGTGGTGGCAGTGTTGGGGTGTCAAGAAATCACTTTAAAACAAACCAGTTAATTGAGACCAAAACGACGTTTTTGTAAGTGGTTCGACCTTATAGAAAATACTTCCGCTTCCTTTAGGCCTTTTTAAAAAAATGTTAAGATATTAAGCAAATCGTGATGAAGAAATGAATTTCAGTTCAAATCCGTTAAAGCTGCAAATTCATGTCAACACACAGTCCTCCATGTCGAGTCATGCTGTTTATCTACCCACTAAACAATGGATTCTTCCTTAATGAGGGAATCCTACTCAACCGCGATCCATACGGTCCAACATCTTTTATGACACCAAAGCTGGGGAAAAATTCTAAGCAAGCGAGTATTTTGGTTCATTGAAAGGTATTAGCTATCCCTAAGAATAACAAGCATACGGCTTCATTTTATTTTTAACATGAAGGCAATTTCTATAACCCTCGTTAATCATTGCATATATAATGAGGCTTATCCTTAACTACGGAAACCACAAACTGTAATGCTTATTATAGCGTTTTCCATCGTATCAACAATCTGAAAGCGCTTTAAACAATTATTCCCCGTTCATCGGGCCACGAGACCACGCGGCAGCCGATATCAGCGCACATTCGGTCCTCTACCGTCACATGCACCCATTCATACTCCTGGGTGGAGAGAGGCAATTGTAGTTAAGTGTCTTGCCCAAGGGCGTAAACACCATGTTCATGGCAGGGTTCGAACCCGCACACCGTCGTACATTAATCAAAAACGGGACACTGGACCATCGCATTACACATGTCTATTGATTGACACGATATCAGACAGAGGCATTGACAGTACCGGAATTAAGTTTCCTCAACCTGAATTTCTTTGTAAATAGATGGGCAACCTCATGTTGGTCAAAAACTGCAAATATACTGCAGATGTACTAAAAAGAATTCGAAATACATATTGTAAAAACGGGGACATTTTGTTCCCTTCACGAATGGCTTCTCTTGCTCATACTTCTTTTGTCCAACTGAAAAACAGCTTGTCAATCATAGCGAGGACCTCAGTATGCCCAATAACAGACCGAGGCATGTCCAAACAAGTGCGAGTGCACACAAAAAGCTCTGACCGTCTTGCATGAAAGTCTTGCATGAAATCTATCAAAATGATCCCTGTCAGAGCTTAAAAATGTGACGCCCAAAAATTGGACGCCGATTTGCACATTATGGAACGCCATACTTTAGATTTATACCTTGATTTATAGCGATTTGTGATAAATACCACACGACTACAACATTACTGCACATATTTTACCTCCATTTACCAACTTTTCATAAACATCTTTCCTAATTGTTACAAACAAGTTTTGTTAACTATTTGATTTATTTTGTTTGCTTTTTTTTTGTTTAATTAAAGTTTGGTAGTTATATTTTATGGGAAACTTAGGGGCTTATTTTTGGTCCAGCTTCCGGGGACCGACCACCAAGTGATTACTATGCAGAAGCTCCTGCCAGAAGTTTGTCAGGGGCGAGTTGGTCAGGGAGACGAGTAAGCCAGCGGGCGAGTTGGTAAGTGGCGAGTTGGCGAGGAGGCGATCGAGTTGGTCAGGGGGCGAGTTAACTAGGGACGAGTTGGCCAGTTGGCGAGTTGGATAGGGGGCGAGATGGCCAAGGGGCGAGTTGACCATAAATCCTTCGCCATGCAATCAATCATTGGTTATGTAACACTTTGGTACCGCAAATTATTTGCAATCACAATGGTCATTAGATATCACGGCATGCAACAACAGTAGGCTATACATAGGCATTATCGTTATTGACAAACAGGCCACTGGTTATTATCTATGTAGACATGACATGTAACTGGTGTTTGCAATGGCGGTGATACCAAAAATATACTAAAGGTATATATATCAACAAATCATGAATGTGTGGTGAATACAGAAGTGTAATGTGTGGCAGGTGTAGTCCTCAACACGCTGGGCCAAAAGGCCAAATGTCATGATGGCACTGGTAATCAGAATAAACAAATCTGGGTATGTGTTTTATAAGCACACACACTGGCTAAAAAAGAGCAGGGATGAAGTACAGTCACAATAAATGACTTTACTGATATTTATGCCGCTGATTTTTGGTAGAAATTTTCTGTGTTCTGCGACTTCACAGCATCATTGGCCCCTGGTCACAAAACGTGGTAAGAGTACTTGTCTGATGGTTACAGACCAGTATAAGTAGACTGCCTTGTACCTCCGTGGCAATTACGCGCACATCCCAACATTATTAAAAATACTCACACCTCTCCAAGGTTTTTGAAACACACATCAAACTAAAGCTTATTTCATCATCTTTCATATTTTTTTTTTTGGGGGGGGGGGTTATCCAATGACTTTTGGGAGGAAATTCCATCCAAAGATGATCACTCCTAAACTTCAGCCGGCCTTAAGCCCATTTTGAAATAGTGCCATTTGAAATAGTACAAAATAGTGCAACTTTAGGGCCTTATTGCATCCACATTTCATACAAATACGAGCTCGCAGTCCTCTGCACGGCTCTTCTTTTTTTCTTTTCTTTTTTACAAATCCTGAAGTTCACGGCCCTCAAATACCGGATAACTTGAGGGCATTCAAATCGTGATTTGGCCGACGTGGGCAATTTCGGGCCTTATATTAAGTTACCGGACTGCACCCTTATTCGCTTAATATTTGATTTCATTGACGTTGGTCATCCCTACTTTTGATTATTTACTTTGGATTCTATATCCTTATCTAATATCAACATTTGCGCTGGTGTAGTTTAAACAGTTGCCAAGCCCACCCTGTCCGGTTCGTGTTTTACCCTTTGCCATTCGCCCATGTCAACACTGATCGTTCAAAAATACAACATTGCCGTACCGCTATTCGTCATTTTCCTGTGTTAAACTCTGTACTGAACTCCAATAATGTACAATTATTTTCTCTTCGTAATGTACACAGTGTTCTTGATTACGCTGCAGGGTGAATCAAAAAGAAAGTGACCCGAATTAATGATTTTGTTTCTTAAAAAGCAATCAAATTTGAAACACCACTTAAGTATATCGAAGAACATGTTCTTCTACTCATCTACCAACAAAAAAAAAGAATTACCGAAATTGATCCCTGCTATCAGAAGTTATGCACGTTTTACAAAAACAACCCATTTTTATAGCTGTCTATGGAATGCCATTGGAAGCTATTGAGCTTAGTGATAATTATAGATTACACAAAAGCTTTCAAATACAAATGCGATTTTAATAATTTCAATCAAGACTGAAACATAATTTGTACTATCAGATTTTGTGTTTTGAATATGAGGAACCAGTCATCTATTTTTTGTCTGAATATTAATTGCGAGTTTGGTATGTTCTCCTTTGCAAGTTCTCCTCCATTCAATGAGGTGGGAAAACGTCCATGTTTCATTGTATCTCATGGATATTCATCAGTTCTTAGCACGGTAAATGATAAGTGGTGGACAGCTGAATTGTGTGATCTTCATATTAAAATAGACGTAATTTGGGAATAGAGTATACAAATTACGTGACACGTTCACAGTTTTTACTATATAACATGAACTTAACAGCTGTATTTTTTTATGAAATGGAGCGGGCTTCACATTTTGCTATATTTCTTTTCTAATTCGTTCACTTTCTTTTTGACTCACCCTGTATAATGTGTCCTCCCGTTTACAATATACTTTTCAACAAGTAAATCTCAGACAGAAGCTCTCAAGTTGCAATATTATGTTACACTCACCTTACGAAGTAAACCGATCGAGGAAGCCACATCACAGGCAGGCATTCGTCACACGAACGCCTCTGATGAAGTTGCCCACCCCTCTCAAGGATTTGAAAAAAAGAGTTTCTTTTCGCAGAGTGTGAAGACGCCGAAACATGGATTCAGTTCGTAAGATTTTAAGAGTCCGTTCAACAGACAGTGACGCAGCCTTCAGTCGATGACATACGGTTTAACTCCACTGTCTAGCCCACTGTTTTTTATTTATGACAGTAAAGCATTTTCATCAGTGCCTAATTTACATATATCCACAACAGTCAAGATAACGATGCCACGGCAGCGTATAACAACTTGTTGCTGCGTGCCCGGCTCTCAGCTCATTAAAACCAGGATTTCATCGAGCGCTATATACGTCTCGGTACCGAGAGGTAAACCAAAACCTGCCCTGCCGATGTCTCGTTTCTCCCCGTCTCCTTCGCTCGCTTCTCTTGGTATTTCGTCACATGCGCGTAGGGGGAAAGAACACGGCACGCGGGTCAATAAAAACCGCCCGCAGCCCGCCCGTCAGTGTATCAAATGCATGCCGGAGCCGGTGGAGCCAGCCGGTAATAAACCACGCGCTAGGACACTGGCCATGTTTGCTCCAAGTGGACGCAGCGGAAATTAAGTCGGAAATTGCCGCCTCGACTCCGCCGTCAGTGCCGAGATGGCAGGCGATTGGTTGGATAGAGAGACTTAAAGGAGGGGTGGTGGTTGGCTGGTATCATAGCCGATAAGCCGAAGCAATAATAAAACAGGTATTATATCCAGAATCGTGTAGCTGTCAAAAACAACTCTTTCAATATTAGTGAACTTTTATGGTAGACCAGATATAAGGTTTGACGTCAATTGACCGAAGCCCAGACAGCGATGGGGGTTATCATGATTAAGCATGTTATTGCTGGTCAGGGTATGTAGCATAGTTTGTGGGGGAAAATGATAACATACCACGTCAAGAATAAGGCCAGGGCAAAACGAAAAATCAATTCCCTTAACTAGTGTGGTCTGATACGGCCTAATCTACTGATCTGGTTACATGTTATCACGTTATAAACACAAAAGTTTCGTAAAAACTTTCAGGCATCTGTAAACATTATGAAATTATCTCATTTTTTTGTTGGTTACTTTAGGTAAAAATGGACCACATTTTGGGAAGAATACCAACCTATTTATCCATATTATTTGTTGGGGGGGTGTAAACTCTAATCTAGTCTGGTCCACGACCTGGTTTGCTGATCTGGTATAATCTACCTAGTTCGAAATTAATCTAGCTGATTTAATGACCTAACTGTTTCTCCCATGTCTAGTCTAGTCTGTGATTCAGTGACAAGTTTCATCGGATATGATGTTCTGGTGCGGTTCTTCTGATATCACTTAAAGTTGGGTCTGCTGATGTGTGATTGAAGGTTCTTGTGATTCTCATTTTTACCTTACAGCAATTGGAACTTCCATCCTGGGTTTTTGTTTTTTTTAAGTAAAACGTCGAAAAACACTACTTGCTGTCAGAACTTACGCCAGACCCCATGACGTGAAGATAGCACATCTCCCGGACATTTATCGCGTCCACGCCAATGCACAACGAAGGGTCTTCTTTTGTATTTCGTAGTTCGCCGGGAAATAGTCGTTGGTATCCGTTTACTGGAATCCGTTTGCTGGATAGAATGCCATTGGTTTTCACTTACTACTGTCGACCCCAGTTTATCGACCGCACTGATTTGCCTGTAGCGCCATTTTCTGTGCGTTCTTGTCATGCAGTACAAGTATACACTGAGGAAGATCCCTCCCTTTATCCTGACGCTACATCTTTTCACTAACATTGAGACCAGGGTCCCCAGTGCTCTCCTTTATGGTGAGGATGTTAAAAAAAAAGCAGATGTCATTGAGCAATGGCTGTGAACTCTGAAGAATTCTGGTGAACTCTGGTGATGAGAGCCTGGCAGTGCTATCGTATAGGATTACCCCGTAACGCAAATGCAAGGGCTAAATCCGGCCGAATGTGTCGACCAGATGTACATATGTGAAAAGCCATTTCTGAATCAACTGAAGAGAATTTTGCGCGCTCTGACTTAATCTGACTTAAAATCAAATGTAATCGTTAATAAGTGCCCCTGTTTGCAGAGCGACGGTTTATATTTATACCGTGTTCATTACGAATTTGTCATAGTGTGGTGGACTGGACGAACGATGATATATGTCCTAACTATGTGAAAGAAACGTTTTAAAATGGAGATACCAACCTGTGTCATGGAAGACACGAATCGGAACTACTGCTTTCCGGAAAGTATCAACTGAACTTTCTAAGGATAATGAAGACGTGTATGTAGAAAGTTTGGTACCAGATGCATATCGCTCTTGTTTTGTGCTTAGAAATAAACATTGGACTTGTAAAGCATTCTAATTAACATGCTTCTGATCTGGAAAATTTTCAAGTTGTTCTGCATCAATGTTTCAGGTACAACTTGCGATGATTCCGGAGATCTAGACCAATTGGGCAAATGAAGAATGCACGTCCTCCTCCGACTTCTGATTCAGTCTTCAAAAACGTCTTTGAACTAAAAAAATCTGTATAGGCCTATCATATAGGCTTAACCATTGTTGGTTTTGCAGTTTTTAATCGAAAGACACAATCTGTTGTTCCAAATTTCTACTTAAACAAGGCAGAGACACTTCACAATTAAAGTCCAATCATTTACCTCATTAAATGCACTTTCCTACAAAGTCGCCGTCAACTAATGAGCTGTTCGCCCACGTTGTTATCGGAGTTTTTTCTTCTGTTATTATATATTTTTTAATGAGAACGCACAACATCTACAAATGTCAATTGGGGAAACACACTGATGATTAACTTGGTTGCTTTTGTCTACCCGCATACGAATTCAGCCCAATTAATTTACATGACAATCAAACGTCATTTTCCCAATTCTCTCGCCTGCCGCCGCCCATATAGGTGTCTCGGATTTTCCGGTGTGACGCACGCGGTACGTGCGTTGTTCATTTCAGGCAGTTGGTAAAGCGTGGGGGCGTTCAATCATTAATCCGTGTACGTAATGACCCGTACCTTCGGACTTGATCAGACGCAATCAACAACTTTCTTAGTTTTTATGGTGTTTCTGATATATTAATGCTCCGTCTTTAGGGTCTCCTGTCTTTTCTAGCGCTTCCCTTGGTTTTTTTTTTCCGTTCTGCTTTTAAAGTTGTATAACCGTGCTCTTAAAAAAATTGGATTTTTTTTTTCTCCTAACGAGCTTTTAATTTGTATGTTTTAGTTTAACGAAAGCAACTACATTATCCCCATTTTGGGCGTCCGCAACCCTCTGAAAAAGGCTTTCATTTGATTCATTAATGAACCGCCCGGCAAGAGCCAAATTATTGTCTGGCAGCCAATCATGTTGTGAAGAAATAACTCAATAACTAAACGTCGTTGGTATTTTTTTCGATGTGTCATTCAAAAATGAACAACTTTTATATTGCTAGGAAATTAGCAATTGAAAACAATTTCGCAATACTAGCATGGGTAATGACCTTTAAAACATCGGTACTAGTATTGAGAGGTGGTTGTTATCGTGTTTGATTTCGTTGTTTTATTTTCTGTTGTGTTTTCGTCGTTGTAATGTTGATGTTGCCGTTGTAGTCATCGTAGCAAACTTGTTGCGTCGTGTACATAAATCAATCCTTTATCATTAAGTTTCTTGATTTGAAATAATGATTTTCTCAATTTCCCGGAACATCTTAAGTCTTAAATGTCTAGTTTTTATACTTCAAATGTAGCCATGAAAACAAAATAAAACTCTCACCGTTGTCATGGTCTCTTAAGGGGCCCTGCAATGTAATTTGTTTTAATGCAATCCTTGAAAATGCATCTTTGTCTCTTATTTAACCTTATTTTCAATTTTCATTTTGCCGTTTTCAAGGGTATTTCGGTGCCATTTTGGATTTTATGTTAATGCGAATTTCCATATTCATGAGCAAAAGTGTGATGTCATATCAGGCAGAAACCTCAATGTTACAACTAGTTTATTCACAAAAAGTTGCCAGATTTTTGAATGTATTCCGCTGTCGTAAACTTTCTTTTCTTTGGTGATTCGTCGTTGTGTCAGTACGTGGCAGTAAGCCAATGAGCAAACGTTTCTCACAAAATGTTTTCAAAGAGCAAATTGTTGGGTTCGCAATTTGAACAGAAAACACCTAAAATAAACATTGTCTTCCTGAAATGACATCGCGGCAACAGCACCTCAGTTGTCCGGAAAATCGTTTTAAATGCTTTAAGACGGAAGCGCACTTTTCAATAAAATTTAAAGGGATGTCAATTAGTCTTCATACATCTAAGAGGATTAGAAAGTAGCACAAATATGTTCCTATTGAAATATTCACTTCATGTGCCCTTTAAGTTGGAGGACAGTGACTTGGATAGCGCTTTTTATCAAGATAGCACATAAATTAAACAACATTTAAAGACACGTGCTATTTTCGAATTTCAACCATAAACATATATTCTAGATAGCTATTTCTATAATTATAGATACACAAAATGGTATTTACTTATGAATGAGACTTCGGAAGAAGAAAATAGCGCATCGTTGTATAGTTATGGAATGATTACTTCACAAATTCAGGTCGCGCAGGCTAGACTAGTTTCCGCCCCTTTCAGAATCGATAATGCAGAGCCCAGAAACCAGTCTACTCGCAGGATGGATCTGATGGTGGCCAGTGGCAAACACCGAAAATAGAAAAAGAAAGAACTTTTTCCTGAAAACAAAAAAAAATTGAAAGATCGTCAAAAGAACAAACATTTTATCTGTTGAAGAGCACAGTTCTTACTTAAATAGTTTAGGTCTTTGTGAGTTAGTTCTCCAAGAAACGTTGCTCAGTGTTACTCAAGGGAGGTCTTACCCGGAAAGTTCAGACAAAAAAACCCTCTTTATTATACAAGCTTCAGTTTTTGTTTGCATTATTCTTGAGATTTGAAGGTTTGCATGGTGGAAAGATACTAAGACAAGATAAGTTTGCGGTAGCACCATGTGAATAAATCTCTTTTGTGAGTATGTGTGGTTCTGCATTATTCTTTAGAATATTTTTTTAACCGATTAGTTAAATTTGATAATGTTTGGTACGGACGTGCCCCAATAACACATCAAGGTATAACATTAGTACGAATGCTTGTAAATAACGTTACATGGTATATTTGAAGCTTACTGGACAGATAAAATCGGTGATTTCCAAAAAAAAATGTTTGTTTGCATCACTACGGGCATACAGAAACAGATGTACGACTGGCCGCCTTGCGGCTTACTCCGCCCGCCCGTGGCAACCCAATATCACACGGTACAACCAACAGAGAGACCACGGTGGCTCACGTTACACGGCAAAAAAAAACCACCAGGTAGAACTGTTACCGGCAATGGAGACCACGCATCTAATTCTGTGTCAGGCAGTGATGCTAATAATTAAACTCTTAAAAATAAAACCTTTGGTTTATCAAACCTTCGATATAGTTCTTCAAGTATACATGCACACACATGTATTGTTAACGTTTGGGTTGTACATGTATTCTATATATATATTTTTAACTCACTTTGTTTTGAGTTTTAACCAGGGCTCCGAGGAAGAACAGTTCTTTGACAAGTGATTGGCCTACCGTAGTAGAATAACACACCAAATTACAATTTTAACAAATTATTATTATTACTTTTCCGACA